GGCCGCCGCCGCCGCTGCCTCCGCCGCCGCAGCCGGCTCAGTCCGCGACCGGCCGACCGCGCGGCAGGTCCGCCGTGTCCGCGCGCTGTGTCCGCCGTGTCCGCGCGCTGTGTCCGCCGTGTCCGCTGTGTCCGCCGTGTCCGCCGTGTCCGCGGCCGATGCGCTCCCACCTGCCCGTGCGGCGAACGCTGAGCGCGCCAGAGGGCGTTCATCGCGCCTACCTGTCTCTGAGAGGGCGGCACGCGATGAAGCAGACCGCAGGTACGGGCGGTCCTCTGCGGTCGACGATGTCCACTGTTTTGTCCACATCTGTCTGGATGTGTCCACATGTGCTCGTATGTGTCCAGCTGTGTTCATATGTAACCCTCGATATCCGTCTGTCCTGTCCTGTGTTGTCCTGTTTTTGCATCTCACTGCATTCACATGTGCCGATGTTGATCATCCTATGTATCCCAACGTGCTCGTCAGCATCCGCCGATGTCCAACCGTATCCAGTCGCATCCCACTGCGCCCATATGGATCCGCCTGCGTCCGCTTGTGTCCACCCGTGTTCAGCCGTATCCTTAGTGTGCGTCTCGGTCCACCTGTACCCGAACGCATTTCTCTGTTCGCCTTCGTCTTTATACCACGTTGCTTGCATGTACCCGCCATCGCTGTAAATGTTCCGCTGCTTCAACAGTGTCTCAATGTATGTCGTCTGTGTTCTCCTGTGTCCACTTGCATCCGGTTGTACCTGGCGCGTCCGTCGGTGTACGTCGTTGTCCGCCTGTGTCCTCCCGTATCTGTGTGTGGTCAGCCATGTTCGTCTCTGTCCCGTCGCTGTCGTCCTTATTCCGCTGCATTCGTCCGTGTCACACCGTAATCCTCCTTGTCAGCCTGTGTGACGGCGTCAAACCGGGGCTTGTCGTATGTATCCCCCTGTGTCCGTGTGGGTGACGTCTGTGTCCGCTTGCATCCAACTGTGTCTTGCTATGCCCTGTCGGTGCACGGCTGTATAACGCTCTCTGCCTGTGTCCGCCCGTATGCATGCTTGGCTCTCTGAGTCCGCATGTGTCCGTCTGTATCACACCGTGTCTGTCTGTGTCCGTCTATCTCTCGTTGTCCATGTGGATCGCACTTTGACGCTCGCATCCTATTGTGCCGCTGCGGTCTCAGATCTGGTCAATCCCCGAGTAGTGGCTGAGATTTCCGGCCATGGCAGCACTGCAGCTCCTGCCCTCCGGGTGACCTCGCGTCGCCCTGTCTGCCCCGCTGGACTCCCGCCCCGCTTCACTATCGGCCAGGGAGTCCCCAGCTAATGCGCCTCGGCGGCTGCACGCCAACGTTGCTTCGGTTAACTGCTTAGGCGTAAACTGCCGACCAGCGAGCGGCGCCGAACCACGAGATTGGTGGAGCGCCGCGTTACGTGCGCAGTACATTTTGGTCCGCACTGGGGTGTGGCGTGACCCAGTGGTGAGTGTTGAAAGGCCGTGTGTTCCGTATGTTCAGCATGGGTTAACATAGTCACGCTTATGGTGAGCACAGCCATCAGCACGAAGGACACGACCTTTCGTTCTCAGTAAGTAATTAAGATACCAAAAAGCAGCTACAGTCGGTATGCGGGTGCCTACGTTGCTTCTTTGGTGACCTTCCAGTTGCATCATGCTACGGTTTATCCATCCTGACTGGGCTGAGACCGGTTATATGTGCGTTCTCGCTGTTCGTACTCTGTGTATCTCCGGACATTATGCATGATATGCTCATTGGGTATGCTGGGAATGGCTTGGCTGTGACGGTGGCTCGGCGGCAGCTGACGCACCGGGCGACGGTCGTGGCGCCGGGGCCCGCCCCGCCGGCGCCGGTCCAGCTTTGTGGAGGCGTCCCGGACCGGAGCCGGAGCCGGAGCCGCAGCCGTCGGCCTGTCCGACCGGTCGCCGCCACCGTTATCTCTCGCCGTCTGTGGGCGCAACAGAGATGCCCAAAGGCCAGCTGGCGTCACCCCGGGCCGGGGACCAGCCCCGAGGTGGAGATCGTGGGTGGCGCGACTCCCGGGGAGCGCGCGAACTCGCGGCACGTGGCTTTGATCCACGGTATCGGGGGGTGTATCACAGCGCGGCCCGTGACCCCTGACAGCGGGGCTGTTCCCGAACCACGTGGCGTAGGGCATCCCGGCGCGAGTGCATCCCCGGCACTTGTCACCCGGTCCTCCCCGGCTGAGTCAATTCACGACTTGTCCGCGTGACTCCGAGCAGAGTCTATGTGACTGTCAGCACTGACAGCAGCGCGGCTGACTCAGGCGCTGCGGGGCCCTCCTGGCCTCAGGCGGGCCTCCCTCGCGCGCTGTGACCCCTCAAAATCCGCTGCGCATCGCCACGTGCTCGCCGACGTGCCGCAGCGGCGGCAGCGGCGGCACGTGTTGTGACGGCCGGCGCCCATATCGACCAGCTGGCTCTGACGTCAGGCGTCTCCGGTCGCGTCTGTGGCGCTCGGCGTCTGTGGCGCTCGGCGCGGCCGAGCCGCTCAATTGGTGTGCGACACACAAGGGCGGCGTGGCCGACGCCGTTGCGTCACGGCCCGTCAGCGGGCCGCCTGCAGCCCCGGTCCCCCACGCTCGCGCGCCGCCGCCACCTGCAACACGAGCCGGCCGCCGCTGCGCCAATTTGGCGGCCAGCTGCCGGCCGGCGGCGCCCCGACTGGCCGCCAGCGAGCGCTGGCTGCTCGGACGGGGTCACTGGAGTGCCACTGGCCTCTCGGACGGGGTTCACTGGAGTGCCGCTGGCTGCTCGGCAGGCCCCTGGAGTGCCTCTGGCCGTTTGCTTAGGCAACTGGAGTGCCGCTGGCTGCTCGGGCAAGTCACTGGAGTACCGCTTGCTGCTCGGGCAAGTCAATGGAGTGCCGATGGCTGCTCAGGCAGGTCACTGGAGTACAGCTGGCCGCTCTGTCAAGGAGTGGCTGTGGTCGCTTTGTCAGGTTACCGGAGTGGCTCGGTTCGCTGTCAGGCCGCTGAAGGGTCGCTGTCCTGTGCCTGGGGTGACGCCGTCTGCCATCCCTATGGACACTGTTTGACTGATGTCAGGACTGTACCCAGCTCTCCCGGCTAGGTCGGGGACCCGAAGCCGGACCGGAGCCGGACCGGAGCCGGACCGGAGCCGGACCAGAGCCGGCCGAATCGATTTGTGAATCCGGCGCCGAGCGGACGCTGTATAACTGATAGCATAACTAATATAACTAATATAGCATAGTATAACTAATGCCCCTGGCGTGCGGGAGGTCAGATCAGCGCACCGGTATTGGCGCCTCCTGTACTTTGAGAGGGATGGGGGCGGTGCCGAACTCTACTCAGAACACTTCAGCACCGACGGGTTACCCTAGTCATGACGCCGGTACCACTGGTTCTTACTCGCCGAGGGGACCGCGGCGCTAAAGCGCCGCGCAATTTTTCGCGATGCGGTGCAACTGTGACTGGCCCAGTCTCAGACGAAGATGTTGTCCGAATTTGCGCGTGAAGCGAACTTTTTCTAAGCATGAGGGCCCTCCGTCGTTGAAAGCACGCGTGTTGCTGACGGAGATTTCTCGAGGGCTGTGTGTGCATGGTTGTGAAGGCTTCACTGCGGGCAATACGTTGAGCCCGAGGGCTGCGCGCTATGTTTGTGGATGACAAACACAGAAACCTTCACGAGTCAGTGCGCGATGGAACATTTGTATGGGTGTTTCTTTGTGTGCCAATCACCTCGAGCCAGGTCGTAGATGCTCTTGGAGTGATGGGTGCGCTAGGCCCCACTGTTTTTTTTTCTGTTGGGTGGGAGTGCGGACAAACCCTTCAGTCCCAGTCTGGTAAGGTCGCAAAGTGCGCCATCCCGCTGCCCCACTGGTATTTCTCTCGTGGCGTTTTTTAACGTGTTGTTGTGCCAGCTGTGTGGCTGGATTAATGTTCAGTTTGGCTGATGTTGATGAATGGGCCCACGGACTTTGACCACAGCCGCACATGGGTGAGTGGCAACCGCACAAGAGGCTGAGCCTGCTTTGCGGCGGGCATGCAGACGGGCGTGGGGGACGGGGGCGTACTGTTGTCCACCCCCAGACCAGACCAGGCCTCCGTTTCGTGACAAGACCATTCGCCTGGACTTTTATGCGGAGAACACCCCCAAAAAGGCCAGTTTTGTGGAAGGTTTGGCTGTTTGCCTTTCGTGCAGGTCCCTCGGTTGATTTAGCGCAATGATAACACAGCGGTACCCGGCCGGCCATGCAGGAGCCAGCCATCTTTTCAAAGTTCACTGGCTTTGATCTGCTAGCTTCACCAACAACACTGAATTTGGGTTTCATTTTTTTCTGTATTAAGTATAAGGCCTGTTGTGTAAAACCACATATGACTTTGTCGGGCGTGTTTGTTGCCAGAATTTTATTTGACTTCTGTGCGCTTCCCTAGTGCGGTATGCTTGCATGTCATGTACCCACTCAAACGTTGAATGCACATGCCTTTGTCACTTCACTCCCTCCTTAAGATTTCGTCTGTTTCGTGTGAAAAAGATAGTGATAACAGGTGCGATGCTGTGCCACTTCACATGATTCCAAAATAGACCTGGTTATCCGGGTCAAGGAACAGCAATGTTTAGACGATCTCGAGACATTAAAACTCTTGTCTTTGTGTGACTCATCGTTCAGCACCGAATTACCTCATATTTAGGAACGAAGCAGCCCGGCAGGATCAGTGCCCGTCTCGCCAAGAGCTGGCAGGCACGTCGGCCTCCGATCTGGAGATCGCCCCCAGGAGTGCATGAGTGCTTCGAACCACTACACTGCAGCTTCTCACAAGGAATGCCACACTTGCCAAACTCCAAGGCCCGCTTGCAGGAAATTTGCCACGATGTCCACACGGCGGATGCTCCCACACTTGTTCGCGATCCAGTGCCGCGCCGCCGAGCGTCAACCGGCAGCGGCCCCTGACCTGACCTGACCTGATCTGATCTGACCTGACCTGACCTGATCCGACCCGATCTGACCCGTCTCGCCGGCTCTTGCAGACGCGGTGCGCCCCGTCCCTGGCGCGTGGGACGACGCCACCATCTACGAGGACATAGACGAGGTGGGCGACGACGGCACGCCATTCAGCTCCGACCGGCTGGAAGTGCGCCGCCAGCTCAGCTCCGACAGCTCATGGAGCGAGGAGTTCGAGTCAATGTCGGAGCCGGATGAGCCGCCGGCGCCCGCCGACAAGTGAGTACCCCAGCCTGTCGGCGCGCCCGCCGGCAAGTGAGCACCCCAGCCTGTCGGCGCGCCCGTTGGACGCTTCGCAACACGCCGCCGGGATTTTTGGTGGCTTCGTAGAGCTCACGAGGATATATCGGTGGCTAATAAGCTCACGCCTTACGCTGTTTCTTCTAAGCCTCATTGTTGGCGAGCCGGACGGCGGTCAGCTGGTAACAGCACCCGGCCGGTGGTTCGCTGTGGTGCTGACGTCACCCGGTGGTCAGGCCGACACTCCAACGGCGCCCGTCCCAGGGCACCGCTCAGGGCATCTTGCTCCGCCGGAATTGGACGGAGCACTCGGAATGTAAATTGAATGCTATAGCGACCAAATGTGACATTGACACATCGCCAAGCCGCGCTCGAATCCTCCTGCGGGCTTATGACGTCACCTGTGATGTCAGAAGTACTTAAGCTCGTAAAGCTCTTAAGTCGACATGCTCCGTGCGCCTTCGTGTTATCGGTACCTGTTACTGGCGGAGGAGAATTTCTAGGAAAACCACACAGCATAGCCCGATATGGATGAACCCGTGCTGATTTGGCTCTTGGGGCATGTCAGCACTGAGGATCTGTGGGTCGCTTAGTTGTTCTCGTTGCTGCAGTCTCGGTTTAATGTAATATCAAGTATGTTAATGCCCAACCATTTGCACGAAGTGTGAATGTAATCCCCCATTTACACTCATGGCTTCGCCTTACGGCATTCGGGCTCCGTCATGGAGCACAATACAGCTAAAATACAGTCATGGGGCAGCCGTGACCTTTCCCCGCGGTGTTGACAAATCGTCCTAGCAGAAGGTAGGCCTTTAAGAAAACGGGTCACGTCTAGATGGCTGCTTTCAGGTATATCAGTATATCATGAATTGCCGGGAGATAAAGCTGTCAGCTGGTGCGCGTCGCTGCTGGGAACTCGTACGGCATTTATTTGGCGCACTTTCGTGGCCACATACTTGCCCAGAGGGCCCTGCTGCCCCCCCCCCCCCCCCCCCCCCCCCCCCCCCAGTGTGCAGTATGACGCTCGTTAGGATTCGTTCGTCCTTGCTTGGTTTCGCTGTTGATATGAAGCATATGGTTTGGTGTTTTCCTGAATTAAAAGACAAAGCGCAAAGAAAACGCAACATCTGCCTGACATTTCCGCGCAGCGAAACTACCATATAGGTCTAGGAAAATCACACGGGGATTTTTGTCTGCATAAGTTGCATGGATTGGATGCTTCCTAAGCCTGGATGGCATCCTTCAACTTTGTGTGATTGTTTGCATCGTTAGCAAATCAATAGAATCAAGTTGTGCTTTCCTCGCAAACCAGATCCTTTCCATGCTTGACGGATGTATTGCAGGTCGACAAGGTCTCTATTAAAAAGTTTGATTCACGCACAGGTGCTCCTCGGAAGCTGTGTTCCAAACCCATGGCATGCTTTGCACACAACATTCGGTGTGTTCAGTCCTTGTTTCCTCATTAAAGGGAATTATAAAACTAGCCGGCAAACATGGAATAATTATGACAAACTAGCCGTGCAGAATGGCCAGCGCGGCGGACGGGCTGCGGACGGGACCCACTTGTAGTATTCCAACTTGTCGATAGGTGTGCTTATGGGTACGTTGTTTGCATAACCTAATGCTCACGTGGTTGTGCCCTTTCTCGTGGTATTTTTACATATTTGTCCGTGATTTTGCGTTGTTTACTTGCATTCACATATTTCGTCGTCCTAATGCGTACCACTGTCTAAATTCCTGTATTATGCAGCACAAAACGTGATTCGTGTTCGAAACACGCGCTGAACGCGTTGCAGTGGTCAACAGCCTACTGAGGTACGTTGGCGCCAGCAGTTGTGCAAACGCACGCCAAACACAAAGAACTGGATGGTCATATTTTTCTTGGCCTTGGGCTTCACATGGCCAATGGGGTGACAGTGTTTGTGTGACACTTCTGTCACGTCATGCACGCCTGGCTGATCTTGAAATAGGTGGCGCGAAACAGCTTATAAGTTCGCGGGCGTTAAGCTCAGAAACCAGAAAGTTTTATCTCTTAGAAATGACAGGGCTGTGAACTGCACTGATTCTCCAAAATGGGTATATCATTTGAAAACCTCATGCAAATATGAAATACTGCCATCAATACCCAATACTATGTCAGCAGGAAAGCACTTTCTGAGGACGATATTACTGCTTGTAGCAGGAAATCGTCTGGGTGCTTTGCCTGAATGTATGGTGGTGACACCATACCGGGAAAAGCGCGTGTAGCTGTTATTGCCCGCGTTCTGTAACAAACACCCGAGCGCTGGGTTATTTTGGCGCCCTCTATGCCCACCGGAGGCGGCAGGACGCACGGAGACACTCTCTCGAGGTGGTGATGAAAAGACGAAGGTATGCAGATGAAGGACAAAGAAAGGCGTGAATGGAATCAAAATGGACCTCCCTATTCTTGGAGCCATCTAGACCATGTGTGTCACAGACTATGTGAACGTGCGCACTTAGTGATGGTAGAGGGGTCGCCGCCTCCCCAACAACTATCTCAAAGATCTGCCCTCTTCAACCAAGTGATTCCAAGGAGGCATACGCTGTCATACCCCTTTAAGGTGCGCCTTTGATAAAAGCTGCCGCCAGTGGTGGGTGGAGATATCTTGCATGCAAAATGTCCTTCAGAAGGAGTCGCATGACCTGACGGCCAATAAATCGATGCTGCTCCGCTGCCAGAGCCCAGCCCATCCAGGTGAAAACCTCTGAAAGGTCACGGGCTGCGCCTCGTTGCGTCCCGACGCGCCGAGTTTGAATGTTCGAGTCGCCTCTCGCGCCGAGGCTGGATTCCGTTCTGCGCGCCGCGGAGTGCGGCTTCCGCTGAGCCGGCGCTACGTCTCTCTTTCCCTCCTCTGACATCACCGGCGCAGGCATGCACATACCTACATCGCGGACGGGGCATGCAGAACTGTGACGGACGCCGGTCGGCCTTGGGGCATGGTTTTGCTCGTGCCGTGGCACGGCAGCGCTGTGGTCGCCGCCAGGTCCGCGGCGTGGACGCGCTCCGCACACTGGCGCCGGCTGCAGACCTCCGACGGTTTACAGCCCCGACAATGGCGTGGCCCGCCAGCGGATCGTCTTGCTGGTTTTTGCCCCGTGTTTTCAGCGTGGGTTCGGAATGTGCCTTCACTTAACTTGCAAACGCAAACTGGAAAGAGAGGCTTTGACTGAAAACCATTCGGCAAGCTGACGCCTACGCGTCTGACCTGTATCGCCGTACAAGTGCGGCGTCGTGTCAAGCGTGCGTCCGTTTTCCAGATGGTGAGCAGCGTTACGTGAGTGAGCGGTGCACGTTCAAAGCCCATTCAGTTGCTTCTGCGGTAGCCACGGTGCATCTACGGAGAAGCCGAGTTCCAAGTTGCCACCGGTTTCCGCAAAGGCCTGTTTTCACAGTTGAGATCTTGAAAACCCACCGTCCGTTGCAGTACTGAGAGCATGACATCCGTTTTGCCGTTGTGGTTTGAGAGGCGCTCTCACGTGGGCGTGTAGCGAGGGTCATAACGAGGCGCACAACGGGAGCCCCTCCCACTGGGGCGCAAAAGCAACGAAGCCGTTGGCGGTGCGGGGTAAAATTTCTGCCCAGCAGGCGTCCGCTTATTATTTTTGTACTGCCCGGGCGTGGCGAGAGGCGGCAGTGGAGTGGAGGACCAGAGAAGACTACCATCTAAGCGGTCACTGGGGCAGACTGCCGCCCAGCCGGACCAGAGCGGCTGGCTGAGCAGACCACCGCTTGAGCCCGTCCGCCTGACCAGAGCGACTGGCAGAGCAGACCACCGTATGAGCGGTTACCTGCGCAGACTGCCGTTCAGCCTGACCAGAGCGGCTGGCTGAGCAGACCACCGCCTGAGCCCGTCCTCCTGACCAGAGCAGCTGACTGAGCAGACCACCGTCTGAGCGGTTACCTGGGCAGACTGCCGCCCGCCTAACCAGAGCGGCTGGCAGAGCAGACCACCGCCTGAGCGGTTACCGGGGCAGACTGCCGTCCGCCCGACCAGAGCGGCTGGCAGAGCAGACCACCGCCTGGTTGGTATCGACCGACCGGCAGCTCGCAGCTGCTGCAGCGTCAGCCGCTGTGACCGACCTGACTGTGGGTCGGGGAGAGGGGGGCGGGGGCGGCTGTGGTCCGCGCTGGAACGTCGCGTCCGGGTGCTGTCGGGATGTTCGTGCTCCCACTCCCTTGACACGGTGGGCCGACGTGCGCTGGTGACCGGGGTGCGCCGGTGATGGCGGAAGACGAGCCGTGCCGGACGTGTCGGCGGGACGGCGACCGTGCGGTGTGCGGTGCGCGGGGTGCGGTGTGCGGTGTGCGGGGTGCGGGGTGCGGGGGCCTGCAGGTGACGGGCGAGCGCCGCCCGCCGCGCGGCCCTGACCGGCGCGGCTGTCCGCCCGGATCGGTTGGTCCAGACGCAGGGCGCCGGCGCGACGGACCGGCTCATCGGCCGTAAGACCGGGCCGTGGCCTCCGCCCGTCGCAGCTGGGATTGCAGGACGTTTGACAGCTGCCCTTGTCGGGATTCTAATTTGAAGACGCCTTGTATGCTGTGAAAAATGGTCGAGTCCGTCATGTTTGGAATGGTTGTCGTACTGTGTGCGTGTTAGACGCCGGAAGAACACTGCTACTTGTTTTGGAGAGATGTACCATTTGTCTCCCCCGCTTTGAAATTATTCGTCGGCTTAGAAGAAATGCATCACATTGAATCGTCTTTATTCATTACGGTACAGGCTGTCTCAGCAACTTGGTTCTCGAAATATACGGTGTTTATCAACATTGCCTCCCGTTAATCCAAGTCTGATGCTGTATTATCTGTTTTGGAGTGCGCTTTTAGAACCGTGGTTGTATTCAGGCGCTGCTACATACGCATTCTGCGTACTGCCTCCCCTGTCGCTTCAAGGTATCACACGTCAGTGAAATCGAATGTCGTGGAAGCTACAAGTTTACTTTACAACTTCCTTGAACAC